AATTATAGTTAGCCTAAATCTCATGAAATAAATATTGAAAACTCATTGGCATAAATTTAATAGTTTGGAGACCATCATTATAATTTTATGAAGATCCTTAGCACGAGTCCTAATGATCTCCCTGCTTTGTTATGAATCATAAAAATGAACTTTTACTTGGTAGCATTCAAAAGTCATATGGAAAGGTTCATGATGTTTAAATTTTTCACGGTGCCTTTTGATCGAGAAGTGAACTATGAAAATTGCTTTTAGTGAGAAAGCTAAACAACTCTCATTAAAAAGATATGAGATTCATTTGAGCAATTTTTTGGGCTAATTGTTTTGCATGCAATTCTTTAGCCTTCGTCATCCAGACTGATAGTAGAACCTTGCTCGATAAGTAAAACATAATCAACGTATTAGCTATTCTCAAGTTGGGTGTTACTCGCTTCAATAGCCTTTACCTTATTTCGGGAAGGAAAAAAGGAAGTCAAACTTGTGTCGATAGAGCCTTTCTCAAATGAGAATAAGGAAAGTTTTTGGGCAAGATGAGAAAGAAACTCGCCCTCATCCACCAGAGTCACTTCAATCAATTAGTCAAGATTTACCGACACTAAAAAACGTGAAATAGCAAATTATACTTCAAACTTGAAAAGTGCAAAATAAAAAAAAATAATAGAAAAGTAAGATACTTCTTTGCTCGTTCTAAACAAATACTAGAATGTGATTAAATGAAATTATATTGTAAATGCACGTACCTTTGAAATAATTCCAATATTTCGACCAATTTTTTTAACAAATAAAACCCAACTGACCAATTTTATTTAATCAGTAGGCGCAGCTATAACCGATTCCTCATATTTAAAAAAAGAACACTCAAACTAATAGACAAATGTGAAATGATTTTCTTTAGTGGTGAACTCAACGAATTAAATATATAAAATAATAAGTGGTTAATTACGTGTTATTAGAAATAATTAAAGTGAATAAATCCTTTGATTCTAAGCTCTTAATCATGAAAATGGACGGTGATTGCGGCAAAGAAAGTGCCCAATTGCATGTGCAATATGATTACATTTCCAATTGGTTTTATATAAATAATTTTTAATTTTTAATTAATGCAATTGTCAAACTCCACAAAGAAAAGGCATGAAACTTGGTCGTTTAAATGAAGAAAGTCAACTGGATAATGTCAGAATTATTATTAGCAATTATTGCTACATTATTGATCCTTCTCAGTACAAATATTGTCGAATTTAAATAAATATTTTGTTGGTTTGTACCTCTCTTCTTAGGTCTCTACCCAATAAAAGCAACAGCTCCTCATATGAAAATCGAAATTCGTCTGCCGCGTTCAGATAGACCAGTCTATTATCTTTGGCTTGTGAGTTTTTTCTTTCTCTAAAAATAAAAAAATTCTATTGGATTTGTCCTCACAAGAAAAAAAGGTGTGATCACGATATTCTTGACTTCGAGTTTAGTTTAGTTTAGTTTATAATGGAATGTAAATTTATGCATCGACTTAACTAATTATGATACTTGTTCTTTGTTTGATTTTCGGAAAGAAATACAAAAACCTAGTTGGGCCTGTCCATGACAACTGACTAAAAGATCAAGACTCGACTCACCTTCACACCTCTCCTCATTTAAACATTCAAAATACAATTTGAACAAGTGTGTTCAAAAGATGAAAACTGAACTTGCAGTCAAATTATGTGATCGTTTATAGTACTTTTGTAAAAATCAATTTAACATTAAGTGAAGTCAAATATCGAGCTATCACTATTTATCTTATGTATATATAGTCAAATTTGTTTATTTCGATCTTTTCTGCATCTGTTTTGTGTTCTCTATGCATCATATTTAAACGAGAAATTTACCATGGATGTCCCAAGCTTTTAACGAAAGTGTAGTGTCCCAAATCTTTCAAAGATGTGTAGAAGGACCTCTGGACAATTTTTATTTAAAAAATCATTAATTGGGTTGGAGTTTGGGGTGGCTGAGGCAAATGAAGTTCTTTTTCCCCCTTTTTATTTAATTACTTCAAGATAGAAAATATAGATTTACCATTTTGTCATTTTTAAATTTGGTGAAATATTTTAATTTTGGCCAACTAACGAATTTTTGGTCGAAAACCTTCCATAGATCCTTCTATCGCACATTTTTAAAGTTTTGGAATGTATCGAAAGGTTTGAGACCACATTGAACTTTTTTTTGAAATGTTTGAGACTTCCACTGTAAATTTTCCTATTTTTATTAAAGTCATCTGGAGTAGAATATTTTGCTTAAAGGTCATCTAATATAGAATATTATGAAATAATGGAATGAAATATTATCAGATTTTCATATAATATAAGCGTCTTTAACCCATCAAAATAAGTTTTGATTAGGTGTATTGAACTAGATAAAATAAAAAAATGATGTACAGTGTTACACGTCACTCTTTCTTAACCTATCCAATTATGTCTAATATAATGTATTGTTTATGTCGTTTTCACTTGTTCGGTAAAATGGAGGACAGTATTATGAAAGAAAACGAAGTCATTCATAAATCACTTTGGCCTTTTTAAATTAATAAGATCGTTGCACAATAAGTTATTATTTTATGTATATTTGCTAATGCCACTATGTAATCCTAGATAGTTTGAAGGTTTTCATCATGTTAATTTAGTTTTATATAATTTATTGTCGGTAAGTTACAAATAAGCTTTACATTTCCAATAAAAAGTTAAATGCAATGATGTTACATATCTCCAATTAAAAATTAAATACAAGAAATATGAGAAGACCAATATCAAGAATAGTGAAATATAATTTAGGGTTCCCTTCATGAAGAGAGAGTCGAAGAAGAAATGGATGGATGACCCCTTTATCTAGCAAAGATAAATTAGCTGCCCTGACTCATCTACTTCTCTTCTTGATCTTTTAAATTTCATCCATGTTTTAGCTCACAAGGTACTCCGAGATATACAGTTCTAGATTAAGACAATTGAAAAGAAACATGCTACTCTAGATAGTGTTTTTCCAGGAATGTGATTATGATAATAATTTTTTAATTAATTATTATATAGCAAAAATATTAAAGTACACATATAGAACATGATCTGTTTCTTTAAATTTTAGTGGTTAATAATGTTAGGTTATGTGTGCATATAATATAGTTTTGTTGATAATAATTAAATTGTGATTTTATATTGAGCATGTAAATTTTCAATGATCTCTTGTGATAACAAAAGTTAGGTGCTTCCGCGAAAATTTACAGCTAATGTATAAAGGTTGATATGTTGTACTAGTAGGTTGTAGTGTTAATTGAGCCACTATTCGAGTCTGCAATTTGTTCTTATGCAAAAATAGTTAAGGTGACACTAATATACTTGGGAGTGTATTGAAGAAATCATGTGTCGAGTTTAATTTTATAGCATAACCTTGTGGATAATTAACATTTACTTAATCATCAAATATTTCATCTAGATCTCCTGATTGGGCTATGCATGTATTTTCATGAGTTTAATGGTTTTTTAGTTCATCAATTGGTGAATCAATTCGATTAATCAAATGTCTCAGTGAGTGGCAGTTTGAGAATGAGCAGAATAGAGAACACGAATTCGTGTCGAAAATCGTTGCTATGAAAATAGATAGAGTGATTGTTTAAGTGTTTTACATTGAATGATAATAAATCTAAGCCAGTGTTTAGCAGTGACAAGACTTTAACATCTATTATTATTTCACATGACATTTGATGAAATTGGTAATTAAGTTAGTTATAATTAGAGGAGCAAAAAGATTATTTATGCACATATCTAATTATCGAATATTCTTGAAAATGGGGATAAAATACATATATGGTAAGTTAGGGAAAAAAATNAGAGAGAGAGAGAGAGAGAGAGAGAGAGAGAGAGAGACTTAATTATAGTTATAGTTAAAGTTTTAGGACTACATATGTAATTTTACCAAATTGAGGACTAATTCGATATAAACTGGAACAATGCTTTTGTACCTATAAATACAGTCACATAGGGGTCACTACACCAAAAAAAAAAAAAAAAAAAACCTTTTGCAACAATAAAAAGGCAACATTTATTGATAAATGTTGCTAAAATGGTCTTTTGGCAACATTCTAGTAAGTGAATGTTGCCATTGGTCAATATAAATGAGTTTTGACAACGTTTTTTAGAAACAAATGTTGCGATAGACCCCATTTTACAACGTTTATTGAATGTTGCGGAATGTTTTACTCTTCGCAACGTTTGATAAACGTTGCAAAAAGTTTCAATAGCTTAACTTTTTGTAACGTTTGTTAAACGTTGCGAAAGATCACTTTTCGCAACGTTTGTCAAACGTTGCGAAAGTTGTTTCTTCTCGTAACGTTTGAAAACGTTGCTAAAACTCTCAAATTAACCCAACACTACCCTTATTCACGCCTTCCTCCTTTCATTCATTCCTCTCCAACCCTGTGAGAAAAAATGAAAATGACTTCTTCTCTCTCAAACCCACACAATCCGAAACCCATTCAATTTCCTCTTTCACCACCATTCCACCCTCGCGGAATCGGCCTTGGACTTTGCATTCGCATTCAATGATGTCAACTTTTTAGATTGAATTCTTCTGATGGAGATGCTACCTAAATCGCCCTGTTTAAAGCCCAACCCGAATGTCAGCCTCCCTGGTTGGGCACGAAACCTCAAGCGCCGACGGAATGAACATCTTAATACAGCTAATGGTACAAAATTTTATTTACGTTGTTATATGTATAGTTTAATTATTTTTGCGTTTAATTTTTTTAGTGAGGGAGATTTTGATGGTTTTCAATTTTGGTTGTGAATCTTTGGAAATGGTGTTGGGGGTCTTTAGTGTTTATAGGTTTTGGGTGTTTTTGTTTTAAGGTTGTGGATTGGGAGTTTTCTGAATTTCTTCATAGAAAAGATTTTTTGGGAGGAGTTTTCTGAATTTCTTCCATAGAGGATGCTCAGTTGACTCCTTTATTAGGTCTGGGAGGTGGAGCTTGTGCTGGAATAATTTCTATGTATGCAACATACCCGATGGACATGGTTCGAGGTAGACTAACTGTGCAGGTATTGAGAGGCATCGTAATCATCTTCAAAATCGTCCTTTTTAGAAATCGTGTTGGCTTTCTCTGAGAACAAATGCAGTTTTTGTAGCATATTCCAGATCATAATGCATATTCCTTTTCTCGTGTTACAAACAGATAAATCTCCTAATCAGTATAGAGGAATGTTTCATACTTTGTCAACTGTGCTTCGTGAGGAAGGTTTTCGTGCTCTGTACAAGGGTTGGCTTCCTTCTGTCATTAGAGTCGTAAGTTCAGGAACTATTATATTTATATAACTGATAGCCATGACAAGTCTACAACATTTTGCTTCAGTCAACTTACATATCTTGATGGGAGCATTCCCAAGAAAACGAGGAAGAGAAATTTGATTGCGATTAAGTTACTAATTTTTATGAGTTATAAGCACTTAGCTATCATGTGATGGGAAATTACTTGTATTGAAGTTACTGCAGGCCATTCACATACTGTGTACCAGCAATTGATTAATATTTATTTATAACATCTACACGTGCCTTCTCTTCCTCAATACAGGTATGCATCTCCTATTAAGAGTACGGAAGTAATTCTTGGTGATGATAAGGAGACTGTTCTTGAAATTCGGACTTAATATGACCCTTTGAAGAAAACCAAGCCAAAGGTACTCATGTTAACATTAATTGATAAATTTGAATGGTCACTCTAGATTTTGGAACTTTCTGCATTCATTATATTCTGTTCTGCAGGGGGTGCTGGGTGGCAGAATCTGCTCTCAGGATTGTTTGACAAACTCTTCATTTCCGAGGTTCAAAATCTTTCCTTGTGATACATTTTCTTTCAGTCTTAACACAAACTCCTTTTTTACATTGAATATGTGGTTGACACTTGCTGGTTTGTTATTGCATACAGAATCTTGCCGAACTTGATGACTGGTTTGGTGATTTGAACCCTGAATCTAAAGTAGTTATATCCGAGGCGTATACTGTACCTTCACTTACGGTTGGAGATAGATTTCGGTTTGAAAGGCTTGGTACTTTCCTCTAACTTCCAGCTCTTTTTACTGTTAAAGATGTTTATTTTCTTCTGTAATATGTCTATTGAATTTATTCTGTACATTATGCAGTTTTAATAGGGGAGGAGCCACCATGACTAATCTTGATTCAACTGGAGTTCCAAGTCCAAG